ATCTGCTTACTGTTTAACTCAGCAATTCTAATTCTGCATATTTATTCAAGAGAAATGAAAACACCTATACATAAAGTCCTGTACATTTACTGTTCATGGAGGCTTTGTAATAGCCAAAAACTGGAAACAATTCACATATCCATCAATAGGATAATAGATAAACAATTTGTAGTATAGCCATACAATGGAATACTTCTCAGTATTAAAAAGGAACAAACAACTCAATCACAGTGTGTGCATTAATCTCAAAAACGTTATGCTGAATGAAAGCAGATAGAATAAAGTACGTACTGCATAATCCCATCTCAGTGACATTCTAGAATGATAAAAATTAATCTTAAATCCCAGAAGGATTGAAAGATCAGTGATTGCTTATGGACAGGGCTGTGGGGGAACTTCTTGGAGTGATAAAACTATTCTCTATCTTCATTCTGGTGGTTGGTTATATGAGTGTATGTATTTGTCAAAACCTGTAAAACTTAAAGTGGGTCCATTTTTGTATATAAATTATACTTTAATAAAGTTGATTAAAAAGTAGATGTCGTTCATTAGAATGCTTCAGAAAAACTTAGTGAGACTATTGACCTTAGAATAATTGACTTATTTAAATAAGTGGAATATATTATGATAGAGAGCGCTTACATTCAGAAAAACAATTGTGTACAGCTAGAGATAATTTTTATTTAATATGCATATATTTAAAAATTAGACTAAAAGCATACATTAGTTGATAATTTTTGGATCTGAAAGAATTATCACAGGGTTCCTCGTTAGCATTGAAAAGTGGTCTACCAGATATTGTATTTTTGCACTCATCTTTTGATTGCCTAATATTCCAAGTATCCTTGAAGACTTGGTTAAATGTCAGTTATTCTTCAAAGCCTTTCCTTTGGTTGGGTTCATTGCCCTCTTCTTGGGGCCCTGCTAAACTGAATGCCTGTTATACTGAGGTGCATTTATTTTCATGCCTCCCTTCTTTGGACATCTGGAAAGCAGGGACCATGTCTATTCCTTTTTCTATTTCCAGTGCTGAGCGTAAGACTGGAGAAGTAGTAGGTTTTGAATAAATGTTGTTGAATTGAAATAAGATTCATCTTAGCCAAAATTACTTTGCCATTCATTTAATTAGTTCATTAAAAAAAACTGATGCAGCAGCTGCTCTCTGTCACTAGGTGGGACATACAGTAGTGAACAAGATAAGACCTCAATCTTTGTCCTTATGGGACTCACATTCGAGTGGAAGAGAAACATTAAGTAAATTTTAGCAATAAATACAGAATGTATAATTGTTTAAATCAAGGAAAATGAGGGAGGGAGTCTACTTCTGGGTTGTCAGAGAAACCTTGAGGAGGTGACACATTTGAGAAGATGCGTGAAAGATGACAAGAAGCCTGCCATAGGGAGAACCAATTGAAGAGCCCAGAGGTAGCATGCTTGGGACAGAGAGGTTTCCCTGGATACAAGACTTTCAGTGCCCAAAGCGGGAAGGTCCCAGGCCAACGAGGAGTAGGCCAACTCCTCCACTTGTGCTCTAGGTTCCATCTCTTCATGATTTCACAAGGATTTTTTACTTGTGTAGTTACTTTAGCTTTCTGCTGCAGCATTAATTTCTTTCTATATTCTAAGTTGCTCCTCAACACACAGATTGTCTAGTATCTCCTAGGTGAGGAAACCCCCATATTGGCCCTACATCAGTTTTCCTGTTTCTTGTCTTCAGACTCAACGTTCTCCCAAAGAGCTGTACTCATTCTCTTATCTTACCCTCCCTCACCTCCCGTTCAATGTTCAAACAAGCACTTTAATGGGGCTCAGCTTTCACTACTCTGTTGAAATTTCTCAACAAGGTTAACAAGAACTTCAAGTGGCCAAATCACTCTTTGCTGCCCTGCTCTTTCTCTAATCTTTTAATCTTTTTAATCTTTTAAGTGTGTCTGACAAAGTTGACCACAGTCTCCTCTCTTGAAACACTGACATTAGTAATAATTTCTCTGTTTGAAATCTTGTCATTTAGGGGCCAGCCCTGTGGCCGAGTGGTTAAGTTCACGGGCTCAACTTCTGCAGCCCAGAGTTTCACCGGTTGGGATCCTGGGCACGGACATGGCACGGTTCGTCAGGCCATGCTGAGGCAGCGTCCCGCATAGCACAACCAGAAGGACCCACAAGTAGAATATACAACTGTGTACTGGGGGGCTCTGGGGAAAAGGAAAAAAAGAAGACTGGCAACGGTTGTTGGCTCAGGTACCAATCTTTAAAGAAAGAAATCTTGTCATTTAGAATATTCTACTCAATGTCTCCTTTTTAATTCATCAAATTTAGTTTGTTATACTGCATCTATTTGAAATGATGGCTTTTTCTTTAGGAGGGCTTGTGAGATAAGCAAGAAGAGAATTACATATTGCAAGTATTTAATTTATTATTAGGAGAATCAGTATTCAGCTGAAAAAAATCATTTCCATGTACAGTATATCAAAAGCCTTAAAGATGCTCAGAGCCTTTGACTCAGTGATTGCACGTATAGGCAGTATCTTAAACACATAATGTGAAATGTCTGAAAAGTTATAAAAATTATATACAAATTTACATTAATCACATTGACACTTTTAATAGTGAAAAATTGGAGAAAGCCTCAATGCCTAACAATATGGGGATGATCAGGAAAATTAAGATGCACCCATAGAATAGTGTGTGGTAATGGTAAATGATGTGTAGGAAGAGGTCGTTTTTTTTTTCCCAAATAATAGAGAAATGTCAATGTATAATAAAGGAAAAAATCAATATGGAAAATTGTGAGCCTCTGTAAAAATGTAGATAGGATGAAAATTCTAAGAAACTGTTAACATTTTTCTTTAGGTGGTAGAATCGTAGATAGTTTTTCTTTGTTTTCCAAACTAACCACAGTGATTATGTTTTATTTTTGTATTCAGAATACCATTATTAAGATAGTACTTGCTGTGTAGTTGAAGCTTATGTATATTAGAAAAAGCTGGGGGCTGGCCTCATGGCTTAGTGGTTAAGTTCATGTTCTCCACTTTGGCAGACCAGGGTTTCACTCGTTCGGATCCTGGGTGCAGACCTAGCACCACTCATCAAGCCATGCTGAGATGGTGTCCCAAATAGCTCAGCTAGAAGGACCTACAACTAGAGTATACAACTGTACTGGGGAGCTTTGGGGAGAAGAAGAAAAAAAAAGAGGAAGACAGGCAACAGATGTTAGCCCAGGGCCAATTTTAAAAAAGAAAAATGCCAATTTTTTTTGTTGTTGTTGAGGAAATTTTGTCCTAAGCTAACATCTGCCGCCATTCTTCTTCTTTTTGTATGTGAGCTGCCACCATAGCATGGCTACTGATGGACAAGTGGTGTAGATCTGTGCCTGGGAACCAAACCTGGACCGCCAAAGTGGTGCGCACCGAACTTAACCACTAGGCCACCAGGGCTGGCCCAAAAAAGCAGAATGTTTATTTTGAGGGTTTTGTCTTAGATTGCAGAATAGCATCTACTCTCTAAGGGATTTTCATACTTTGTGGAATATCTTTGATATTTAATTGACTCTTGATTCTCTCAAGAAAAAAGTGGCCCATGATTTGACCATTTGCTCTATTTTATTTTCTTTTTATGATGTGCTTGACTTTAATAAGGTGTTTTTCCCAATATTTCAGTTTTTTGGCAGGATATTTTGCCATTTTTTCCTTCTATGATGTAATTCTTCAGGCCAGGAAGAATAAGATGTATCTGTAATTAAAATTACCTCATCTTTGGTGTTTTTCAGCCCAGAGTCACTATATGTAACTAATGCGGTTACATTATAAGAAAGACAAGTTAGAGTACTTTATTGTTGTTTTTAATCTACAGAGAGATTCATCAACAAAAGCGAATTACAGACTGGCTTGAAAAGTACTCCAATGGACAGTTTGATCTTGACAGTTAATGGCATACTGTCTTACAGGGTTATTCAAATGTTTCACTTTGCTTAGTATTTGTAAGCTCATCAGATGCAACTATGTTTTCTTGGTGTTCTCTGTAGAACCCCAGCACACAATTATGCACATAATATGTGCACAGAACACTTTTACTGAATGAATGAATGTAACCTTTTGCTTTTTGTATTGGTTCAGGGAACTAAAATAATGTTCCCTTAATGAGTGCCAATTTTCTGAAGCGTAGATGAAATTTAACTACTTTTTCCTCCCTATAATTCAGTTAAATAAACAAAATGCGTGTTGTCTGCTCAACTTGGTAGTAGTCAAGAGAAGATGGAAGTCTCCTAAACTGATAACAAAAAGTCAAAAATAATCCACAAACATTTAAATAATCTTAAATTCCAAGAATATCAACAGTTATTGTGTGGGCAACCAAGAGTACCACGAGTTATATAGTTATATTTTCTATTTTATTCAGGATTTGATTTCAATGAACCCTAATTCATTTTAGGACTCATTTAATTCTTTCTCTGTTTTTTTTTTTTAAAGACTTTATTTTTCCTTTTTATCCCAAAGCCCACCGGTACATAGTTGTGTATTTTTAGTTGTGGGTCCTTCTCGTTGTGGCATATGGGATGCTGTCTCAGCATGGCTTGATGTGCAGTGCCATGTCCGCGCCCAGGATCCGAACCTGCAAAACCCCGGGCCACCAAAGCAGAGCGCACGAACTTAACCGCTTGGCCATGGGGCCGGCCCCCTCTTTCTCGGTTTTTGGATCCTATGTTAGTTTTTATGAGCTTAGTATGCATTTAAATTTACTATAAATAGTTTATTAGTGCTAATTGTTTACTATTATGCTTGAACTTTTTCTTTTTGCTTGAGTGTACTTTATCATGTATTTTATTTCCGTATTATCTCATTATTAAATAATGCTTATTGTTAGTCCCATAAATGAAAATGAAGTTATGAGTTATGTACTGTAATATTTTTAAATATACGTTCAATCTACACATAGTCATCAAAATATGTGAAAATACATGATTCATTAAGGTTTACCCAATTTAATTTTGTTCCCTCTTTCAGTTTTTCTTGAAGATTAATGAGTTACACTGGATATGCTGCTGTTCTTTATTTTGGGATTGCTCGTACATTTTGTGTTCTTCGCCTCCATCTTTGATATTTATTTTACATCTCCTTTGGTTCATGGAATGACTCCTCAGTTTACGTCATTGCCTCCTCCAGCAAGAAGATTAGTGCTGTTTGTTGCTGATGGCCTGCGAGCAGATTCACTTTATGAGTTAGATGAAAATGGAGATTCCAGAGCACCATTTATTAGGTAAGCATGTCAACTGGTACAGATGCACCTCTGGAAAATATTATCATGATACTATTTATCTCATCTTGGGCACAAGAGTGATGACGAGAAAGAGAATAGGGCACATATACATTGGCCATTGTCTTATGGATTAGCAAGTTATTTCTGTTATTATGGAAGTTGATATCAGGTGAAGTGAAATGTACGACCTTAGCTGCTTGGCCAAACATGTCCTAATTTCTCAGATCTGTCTTACAACTCATTATGTTATCTTTTTCTTATAAAACAAGCCTGTTAAATTTTTTAAATAATGACAAGCATAAATGTTAATGAACTGCTAATTGCAATGATGTTTAACTAGAAAATACAGACTTCAACTCAAAATAAGCCTTCTGTATAGTATATAAAGCCCTTCCAAGCCTATATCACTGTGCAGTGTAATTTTAGGTTTTAAGTGGCTTTAAATAGAAATGTTTAATTTTTTGGACTTATGGGGCTTCTGCAAACAATTGTTCTTTTTCTGATTAGTGGCAAGCCCCTCAAAAGCCCTTCCTAATGCTGTTGTGGAGAGACTAAAACTCAAATTCAAGTGGAAATTTCTCTAAAATATTGCATCTTCCCCTGACCTTATCTGTGATCATTACCTTCTATCCCTTTACTCTGTTTTATTTTTCTTTGTAGTACTTAGCATATGCAGGTTCCAGGAAGGCTGCGCCTTTGTTTTGTACAACACTTTATCTCCAGTTCCTAGACCATTGTAGGCAGTTAATAAATATTTGCTGACTGCTAGAAGAATGAATGAACTTGAATTCTAGGTTGAATTTCCAGAAATAAATTTATGGTGGTTCAAAGAAATGCATAATATACTAAAGGATAAAAATAAATAAATGAACCACTCAGGGCAATAGGAAAATATGAGTAGGAAAATAAGATCAAAGCAGAGTTAAGTTCAGCACACAAAAATGTGTAACATAAATTCCTACAAATAATTAAAAAATTTGAGTGATGTATTTTGGTGAATTTCTTAGTTTTCAAAGAAAGGAGAGAAATATAGTTCACTGCAAAATTAATAAAATAAAAATATACAGGTTGTTAAGAAAAGACGAGCTTTTCTGGTAGCACTTGTTTCTCCTTTGGGTGTTAGGTGGCGGGCCAAGGGCTCACACAGTTGACGTGCCTTGTGTTGTATGTCATTGTGTGTTTACAGTTTCAGGAATCTTCTACGTTTTGTTTCTTAGTTTATTTTTTTAAATATATGGTCTGAATTGATCAAACTGTTTTTATACAGAGGTATCCAAATTTGTTTATACCTCCCTCTTTCTAAGTTCGGTTTTCTTTATATAACTAAAGAGGTTAAAAAATATTTCTCCCTTAATGTGTGGTTCAGTAGTTTTCAAGCCTTTTAATTATTATGTATGTATTTTACCAAAATTGGTTTTATTATGAGGTGAATCAATATTAAGTATCTAAACTAGTACTTACAGATATTTTTCTACAGAACATTTGGAGAGTCAAGCATTTATCTTGAAAAATGTTAGCAATGCTGTCGTTGTTTTATATCTTGTTGCTCTGCCGCTCTTTCCCCTGCAATGGCATTACTGGTGGTTTTGCTTTCTTCACCCAATTTTTCAGAACACTGTGATATAGCTTAAAGAATGTTGATACATTTTAGCAAAAGAACACTTTGCCTGTTCTAATCTCAAATTTAGGAATATAATTTAACTCCCAATTAGGAGTGTAGCCGTTTCCCCTCTCCTTAGTTTTTTATTTTGGGGATTTTTCAACTACAGAAAAGTTGAAAGGATTATATAATCAACATCTGTATACTGCTAACCTAGATTTAAAAATTAACTTTTTTTTTCATATTTGTATTCTCTCTCTCAATACACATACACATATACCCACACATGCTTAAACTTCTAATTATTTTTTTCCTAAACAGTTTGAAAGCAAGATATTATGACACTTCACCCATAAACACTCCAGCATGTCTCTCCTAAGAATAAGGACTTTCTCCTATACGACCACAATACCATCATCACACCTAATAAAATTTAACGTCAATAGAATAATATTGTTCATATCAGTTATTTCTTATGTAACAAAGCATCTCAATACTTTATAGCTTAAAACAGTAGAGGTGGGGCTGGCCCTGTGGCCGAGTGGTTAAGTTTGCGCGCTCCGCTTCTGCAGCCCAGGGTTCGGATCCTGGGCGCAGACATGGCACCATTCAGTAGGCCACCTTGGGGCGGCATCCCACATGCCACAGCTAGAAGGACCCACAACTAAAAAAAATATATATACAACTATGTACTTGGGGGATTTGGGGAGAAAAAAAAAACAATAGAGGTATATTTTGTCTCATGATTCTGTGTGGTGGTTGGTGGTTGGTTGTTTTACCTGAGCTCACTTATGCTACTGAATCCAGCAGGCAGGAGGGCCAGGACTGGGCTCAGCTGGCGTCAGGAACGTTTCTTATCTTTTTAAATTTTGATTCACTTTTTTGGTTTCAATTCCTTCTGTAATAATCTTATTCTAAAGCCTTAACAGAGCATTTAATCCTGGTCTATGTTAACTATTCATCTGTGGTATCTTTTAGGAATATCATAATGCATGAAGGCAGCTGGGGGATTTCTCATACTCGTGTGCCAACTGAATCTCGGCCAGGTCATGTCGCCCTAATAGCTGGTTTTTATGAAGATGTCAGTGCAGTTGCCAAAGGTATCGCCTATTTAGACCATTTGTCACATGAAAAACTTATTGCGTAAATATTGCTGCTTTAACACTGAATCATGACACACAGTAAGGTGTGTTTTGAGATACTTTTGACAAATGTTTTAGTATGCCTTACAAAAACACACTGGTGTTGATTGAATAATTAAACTTTAGTTTTTTATCATCCTGTACTATTGGAAGAATATGATTGGATGGATCTATGGTTTTCCTACATGTTAACTCTCAAAAGTACAAAAGTGAGTCTATATTTTAGTAAGAAGTAAATTATCTATTGTAAGCTTTTTAAAAATTTTGTGGTATAATACATGTGACAAAATCTTTTATTAGTTTTGCATTTGTTCTGCAATTAATCCTCGTTATTATTTTAAGAATACTTCTTTAGGGGCTATACTAATACTTCGCCATGTATCTATTACTATTGTTAGTGTTTGCTTTTTTTCTTACTTACCTGAAGGATGGAAGGAAAATCCTGTAGAATTTGATTCTCTTCTTAATGAAAGCAAGTACACATGGGGCTGGGGAAGCCCGGATATCTTGTCTATGTTTGCCAAAGGTAAGAGTCATTGATTATATTTCCTCAGATAGTAAATAGGTAATAAATCAATAAGATAATTTCTAATATATTACTGTATTTTATTGATTCTGAGATACATGCTTTTATATATTTAACATCTCTGAAGTAGGGATGTGTATTACAGTGGATAGAGATGTCAGTTTGATTTTTCCTTTTTAGTTGTACTTGAAATATTGGCACATCATACGGTTGTTAGTATCTTGGATTCGATGAAATGGTATATGACTGTAACATTTAACAGCTTTATAATATTGGGCAAGTTAGGTAACTTCTCTGAACCTTAATTTCCCTTTTTGTAAAATGTGATAATAATTTATATCTCATAGGTTTGTTTTTGTGATTAAATTAGATAATTCATGTGAAACTTTTAGCAAAGTGCTTGTCACATAATCTCTCATGATGATGATGTTGATGTCTGGTTCATTTTACTTTGATAAATTATTAAGAAGTTAGTGGATATTCACATATAGATTTAAACGTTAAAGTTTATATTTATAATTTCTGTTTTCATATGTTCAAGATCATGCCATTTGGATTTGTTTTATTTGTTTCTGTGCATGAATCTACAAGTACAGAACATCTCTTGATTAGAAAATTCACTTATATTATTTTCTAAAATCAGTTGGATTCAATTTGAATTTTATGTCATTAAATGCTTTTTAGTGGGAGCAGAATGATTGGTCATTTCATGTAATGAAAAGTTTTTGTGACAAATTTACTTAGCCATGGGTGTAATTATAATAATTGGAATTATTGAAGATTATTATATGTCTCAAAAGCAAAATATATATTTAGAATTTTATGTATGATATTCATAAAACATTGTTATGTAGGGCAGGCCAACAAACCTCACACTGCTTGCTATTTATAGACTTCTTTTTTCGGAAAGCAGCTTAGCTTTGGGGGACTGGTAGTGGTGAGGGTGGATTAAGTTGCTATGGCTCACCAAACTTCCCTTCCTACTTCTGGCTCCAGTTGATAGGACAGGACCAATGCCTGAAATGGAGGCCATCCAACAGGGATGTTCCATTTCTTATGGTAATCAACAAACACACTCAGTCTTTACTTAAGATGTGGGAAGGAGAATGGCTGAACAGTGGCTTAATGTCATTAGAGCAGAACTGATATTATCAGAGATTGTCACTACTTTGTTATATCTCTTTGTTATGACCTGTAAGGGCCTATCTAACTCAGAAATTCACTAAATTGATTAGATTATTAATAAAATCTTGCAAATGTATAAGATTAATATATTTGTTGACTCTTCGGACTGTTTGGCAATAAGCAATATTTATTCCCTTATATTGAGAAAAATGAACATACTATGAATAAAAGAAGTGAAGTATTTCAGTTTCCTTCTTGCTTTAGGAAGTTTTGTAAACTAAATGACTTCATCTGTTTTAGATCGTAACATCCTAAGGATGCACACATTTTTTGACTAGTTTAATCCTTATCAACAAACTTTGGTTTGTTATAGTTTATTTTTGTCCTATTGTATATTGGCATTGTGACTTTGGCAAGTTAATTAACTTACATGTAGTGTATCTGTAAAACTAGAATATGTTATTGTGAGAACAAAAAGCAACAGCATATGTTAAAGTACAAAGCATGGTCTGTGGCATGTAAAATAAATGTTGAATTATTCCTCTCATCTTTCTCTTCCCAGCATAATACAAAATCTTTTTGAAAAATCTGGTTACTCACAAAAATCTTTAAATGACTTACATATTTTATGACAGTTTAAAAGATTGTTAAAGTCTTTTTTCCCCAAATTTCCTTTTCAGATGTTAGTGGAGACCATGTTTTTATACATACTTATGATGCTGATGATGAGGATTTTGGTGCTCATGATGTAACAAAACTGGATACGTGGGTTTTTGATAATGTTAAGGTACGTGCTATTGAGTGGTTAATCTACAGCACATATATTTGTACCTAAGGTACTAGAAACTGATTTACTAGTAACTCCATCTTAGTTTTTTTCTACTTCCATGAACTTGAAAGTTCTGTTTTGTAGCACACCACTTTAAAAAGACTAGATTCTAAGAAATTACACGTTCTACAATAATCAATTAATAGAAGTTTTTTTTTATCGTTACGCTTGTATTTCTGAAAAATAAATCAATACTCTCTTCTTGCTCCAATTTCTCCCTCTCTCGCTGCCTTTTTCCTGTTTAACTAGGTTATTATTATTTTTTTATTTTTTTTATTGAGTTAATGATACGTTACAATCTTGTGAAATTTCAGTTGTACATTATTGTCTGTCAGTTTTGTTGTAGGTGCACCCCTTCCCCCTTTGTGCCCACTCCCCGCCCCCCCTTTCCTCTGGTAGCCAATAATCTGTTCTCTTTGTCCACATGTTTAAAATCCTCATATGAGTGGAGTCATACAGAGATTGTCTTTCTCTATCTGGCTTATTTCATTTAACATAATTCCCTCAAGGTCCATCCATGTTGTTACAAATGGGATGATTTTGTTCTTTTTTTATGGCTGAGTAGTATTCCATTGTATATATATACCACATCTTTATCCAATCATCATTTGATGGGCACTTAGGTTGCTTCCATGTCTTGGCTATTGTAAATAATGCTGCAGTGAACATAGAGGTGCATGGGACTTTTGGAATTGCTGATTTCAGGTTCTTTGGATAGATACCCAGTAGTGGGATAGCTGGATCATATGGTAGTTCTATTTTTAATTTTTTGAGGAATCTCCATACTATTTTCCATAGTGGCTGCACCAGTTTGCATTCCCAACAGCAGTGTATGAGGGTTCCTTTTTCTCCACAACCTCTCCAACATTTGTTACTATTTGTTTTAGTTATTTTTGTCATTCTAATGGGTATAAGGTGATATCTTAGTGTAGTTTTGATTTGCATTTCCCTGATGATCAGCGATGATGAGCATCTTTTCATGTGCCTATTGGCCATCCATATATCTTCTTTGGAGAAATGTCTGTTCATGTCTTCAGCCCATTTTTTGATCGGGTTATTTGATTCTTTGTTGTTGAGTTGTGTGAGTTCTTTATATATTAAGGATATTAAGCCTTTGTCAGATGTATGACTTGGAAATATTTTTTCTCAGTTAGTGGGTTGTGTTTTTGTTTCAATCCTGTTTTCCTTTGCCTTGAAGAAGCACTTTAGTCTGATGAAGTTCCATTAGTTTATTCTTTCTATTGTTATAGAAGTTTTTAAAAAATAATTTTAAAAAGGTAACCTTTTTAAATTCCATGTTTCTGACAGTAAAATGAGCCCTAGATTGGAATTCAGGAAACCTGCATTTCATTCCTAGTTTGATGAATTATTCTAGGTGAACCTTCTTGATCTTCCATTGACCACAGAACCAGTCTCTTACAGTAGTGGAACCATGTGAGATCTGTGAGTTTCCTTTAGAAATAAAGATTTGGATTTAATAGTGACAATTATCCTAGTTTCACCAGCAATCCAGGAGAATTTATATTTTCAAAAATTGTGTGAAAGTCAATTGTGGGTGGATATTGGCTCTCTCCTTTCTGCCAATCCATTTTTTTCTCATCTCAAATTGCAACCTATAATTCATCTGTTGTAAGAAGCATTCATTGGTTGACCCTTAATGATTCTTCTTTTTACCAGTACTGTCTTTTTTATTTTTGTGAGGAAGATTGTCCCTGAGCTAACATCTGTTGCCAACCATCCTCTTTTTGCTTGAGGAAGATTGTTGCTGAGCTAACATCTGTGCCAATCTTCCTCTATTTTGTGTGTGGGATGCCGCCACAACATGGCTTGATAAGCAGTGTGTAGGTCCACAGCTGGGATCCGAACCTGCAAAACCCAGGCTGCCAAAGCTCACGCATGAACTTAACCACTACACCACAAGGCCAGCCCCACCAGTACTGTGTTTTGAATTGACATTGTGGACTTCTCCACAATACGGTCATTTTTGTTTGTTTGTCTGTAAAGGTACTCCTCAGTATGTGCCTGTATTACCTTTTGTATTCTCTTGGCAGAAATTAAGTGCTCAGTACCTTCTTTCGTAAACTCTATTTCTTTTTTCAGGATCTTTTTCCTTGAAATTTTCTTTTTCATTTAACATACACTTTTGTCAACAGGGAAAATTTGCAAGTTAAATAAAATCTCTTTAAAAAAATTAACAAATTACTTTGTTAATTATCACTTCTTAATATAATCTACTTATGTTAGCACCTACTTAAAGGCCCTTGGCTTCTAATTTCATATACATAGCTAAAAATGCTCCAAAATCATGGATTTGATTCCTTGTGGATGGGCAGGTATAGCTGGTGGTTGGCCTGATGTTATGTCTTTTTTCCTTTCTTTATTTCAACATTGCTAGTATTGGTGAGATGACAGTGAACATAAAAAAAGATTTGCCCAGGGCTTCATAAAATATGGTAGAGAGATATCTATTAATCGAGTAATAACAAAAATATGAAATTATCAACAATGGTTAAGTGATATGAAGGAAAAATACAGAGACTAAGAATATGTCAGTAGAAAATTCTGATCTAGACTGAACAGTTAAGGGAAGGCCTTCCTGAGGATTTTGAGTTGATCTCTGAAGTGTAAGAACCAAAGAAATGGATGGGTCTGGATTGCACGTGGAGAAGAGTATTTCAGACCAACAACATTAGGTAAATCTTGGCCTCTATCTTGGGAACACTGCCTGGGAGTAAGGTCTGAGATAAGGCTAGAGAGGGAGTCAGGCGTCTCACCTGGACATTGTGTCCTGGCCAGAGACTCATGCTTGATTCAAGCCAAACAGTTTACAAATCCCTGCACCTTTTCACTCACTTTTTTTTTTTTTTAATTGTGGTAAAATACACAAACAGAAAATTTGCCATGGTGGCCGATTTTAAGTGTACATGTTCAATAGTGTTAGCTATATTCTCGTTGTAGTGCAGCTAATCTCCAGAACTTTTTCATCTTGCAAATATGAAGCTCTGTACTCATTAAACAACAGCTTCCCATTTTCCCCCTCCCCTTGCCCCCGACAACCATCATTGTGCTTTCTGTTTCTTTGTATTTGATTACTCTAGATACCTCATAAAAATGGAATCGTACAGTATTTGTCTTTTTGTGACTGGCTTATTTCACTTAGCATGATATCCTTAAGGTTCATCTATGTTGAATCTCTGCTTTTTAAAACTCAGTTCGTGTATCATCTCCTTTATTAGGTCTTCCAGACTTTCCTTTGCTTTACCCCACTTTCAGTTCGGCTTAGATCACCCTCTTCTCTATGCCTTAATACCTCTTAGTACTTTATTGTGCGTTACCATAATTGTTGCTACATTGGCATATCCCCCTTCAGTCCTATGTGCCTCTTGTTGGCAGAGATACTTTTTCTCATTGTTAACTCTAAATTCCTATCAAGGAATTGTCTGGCACATAGTACATTTATTAATTTAGATTAGGTTCAGCTTTGTGTAATAGGAAAAGAAAATAGCTTAATAATGTATTTCTATCTCAGTAAAGATAGTAGGCAGCCCAGGATTAATGCAGCCCAGGATTAATGCAGCCCAGCACTACTGCAGCCCAGGATTGCTATAGTGGTTCCACAGTGTCATTAAGACCCAAGCTCCTAAATTTCTCCTCTCTCCTCAGAGCGTGAGTTTTATCTTCAAAGTGGTCTCTTGATCCAGGAGATGCTAGAGTTCCAGCCATTATTTCAATGTTTTAGGACAATAGTACAAGGAATCAAAAAGAACCTTTTCTCCTACTAAATTATATTTACTTCAAAGAGCCTTAAGTCCACGTAGCCTTTTGACTGAAATGTTTGACTTGAATCTCATTGGCCACAACCGCAAAGGCACATCTAGCTGTGAGAGAGGATGGGAAATATGTTGGTTTTGAGCATTGAGATTCCCATAAAATCAGAGGTTTTTACTCAGAGAGAAAGGGAGAGTGCATGTTGGGGTAGTCATCTAGCAGCTTCCTATGATGCCTAGTAAGTATTTGTTGAGTACAGAAATGAATGAGTGCCTTTGAACACAGGGGGACTGAGAAAAAGTGGGGGCTGATGGGCATAAGTATACTGAGTATTGGGAGCAAAGAAGCTAGGAGTATATTTCACCTCTTATGTCCAAAGACCGACTTTGTAAAAGGCAATAGAAATCTAACGGGTTGAGCTCTGTAAGATTAATATTTCATAACTTTCCAATCTTGTGTCCATATATGAATGAATAGCACTTTTTACATAGCTGAATATTTTTTACCAGTCATGGAACAAATTATAAATTTGACTCAAATTCAGTTGCTAAGTTTTTTTGTTTTTTGTTAGCTTTCAGTTGTATCTTTAGAATTTAACTCCTTTCTTTTGAAGAACTTGCCATTTCCATCTAGATTTAAAATTTCTTGGGTCTAAGTAGAATGTATATGAAAGTTAGGAGGCAATTTTTTGCTTTTCAGGAAGATGGTAGCAGGTTACATATTGTGTTTTTATTCTTAAATAGCTAGTTTGTTTAATGGCACCATTTGTAATATTCGTAATAGTGAAGAATAATTTGAAAAAATTTATTTCTGGGAAAGTTAAACATCTCTTGTTATTAAAGTTAACGTCTTTTATAGTTAGAGACATTTATGTGAACAGTAATTATATATCTTGGCATAGCCTGTTGACTTATTTAAAATAACTTAAAAGTACTCTCCGCAGGTACTTACTTACGTGTTCATGTGTATAGAAGTCCAGGGTGAATCCTTTGTCTTAGAAGGGCTTTATGAATCCAGTTTATTGTTATAAAATTGATATAATAATTTTTTAACCATGTTTCATTAAGTGGACATTTTTGTATCACACGATGTGAAGAACAGATTCTAGTCCCTTGGCAAAGGTAATAGTGAGGAGGCTGTTTCTAATGCTCTAAGTGAGAGGTTATGCTTGGACTAGGGTGGGAACAGACAGGACAACAAGAAGTAGTCCAGCTCTGAAAACATTTAAAAACGATAGAGCATTTCTAAACTGTTGCCACTAGTACTTTTTTATTTTTGACTCTTAAAATATTTCTTCAATCTGCTGCATTTTATTCAGTGTTGTGAGATCTTTGTGAAATCAAGATCCCCTTTCTGTTACCTTTTTTTGGGCTAATTATAACATAGAAAATAGCTCACTCATTCATTATTTGAACAGAGATGTATAATGTGACAACAAGTACTTTGTGTTGGGAGGTCCTGAGGACAAATTTAAACCAAATAAGATAATTTAATTTTATAGTTATGTATAAATTTAATTAGATGTTTTCATCAGAAGTATTTTTTAAATAAAATAAATAAACTAAATTTTTTTAACTGATTTGTTACATACAGGAATTCTTTCGTGCTGCCAGAAACAACCAATCTTTGTTTTCTAAACTAAATGAAGAGAAAATAGTTTTTTTCTTACATTTATTAGGAATAGATACAAATGGACATGCTCACCGACCATCATCGAGGTAATTTTAAAGCTTTGTTTAATTTCAAGTTTTTGAGGGAAACAGCTGTTCTGTTTGAACTTTAAAGTATTATGTTTTCTTTTTAATTAGCACAACAGAATTTATATTTTAAACAACTCTAAAGTAGAGTCAGTTCTCAATGATATGAGATGTAGTATGATATATTGGCTAAAATCACATGTGCTGTGGCCAGACTACACATTAACATAAGTAAAATAGATCTTGTACATATATTCCATATTCTTAATTTATCAAGACAGAGAAAAAAAAACTATATACTGTATATTTTGGTAAATCTTGAAATAAAAAGCATTTTGTGGTGTTAATATTTATATCACAAAAAGTTGTAATTAGCTATTCCTTATGTGTTCCATTTAATCAGTATCGTGTCTAGCAAATAATTGTATAAAGTTTTGTATGCTGTATTTCAGTAGCATTCCTTATGTAGAACAGCAAATATTTTTCTCACTTTTGCAGACCATGAGAAAGAGGAAGAATCCACGTTATGCTTTTATTCTTTATTTCAAATTTGTTTTAGCTTAGTCTAACTGTAACTGTAGAGTCTGTTGGTCCCCTGCCAGTAATCAATACCTCGGCTCCCCTTCTTTAACTTGATGCTCTGTTGTAAGTGATGGAATTCCTACCAAACCAACTTTGTTCAACTGTTTGGGGAGCTTAAATATAATTTGTTCAAAACATTATATTATATTATCACAGACATTCTAGGGGATGAAAATATTCTATACTTGAAACAGTGATACTTACCTATTAATGTGGCAAGAACAATATAGCTTGCGTTATGAGAGATATGAAATTGAAAGTCATCCTTATTGCTTTGAGACTTAAAAAGTATTCATTAAAATGTATTTGCTAATCAGTACTCTCCTTTTAAATCATTTATGAAAACTATTTCAGATATTTTTGCTTTTTTAAAAGAAAAAAACTATTTTTAACAATCTAAAGAGTTCTGACTTTAAAATATTAAAGATGAAATCTAGAAGTATTTCAGGAGTTATTGACTTTGAATGTAATGAGTTCATGTTGAATAAATTTGATTTTTCAAAATTAATATTATTTAATTTGCTCTTCTGTTTCTTTTTAAACAGGGAATATAAGGACAATATTAAAATAGTTGATGCAGGAATAAAAGAAATGGTGTCTATGTTTAAGCATTTTTATGGAAATGATGGGAAAACAGCATTTGTCTTTACGGCTGACCATGGAATGACAGACTGGGGTTAGTCTGTCTTTAAACATTATGTACTTTATGATTAAAGTAGTGTAAATGTAGCTTGCAGGTATCTTATCATATTGAAGAGGATTAGATGTCTTAGTATATGCAAAGTGTCTAAGTATAATTGTATACTTAAATGTTAGTGTAAAAAAGACTAATCTTATATAAAAATCTTTCTTCTAACTATAAAAGGAATTTATTTTCATTTAAAATGAGAAATCTGAGAATAGTCTGGAGAAGAAAACAACACATACCTCTTATTGATCTACCCAGAGTTAACTGCATGTGTTGGTAAAGGGGGTGAGGGTAAGGTGGGATTAGTGGGGGGCCAGGACTCCTGAAAATCCACACTAGAGGAGCCCGTCCTCCCTGTGAGATTCCTGAGGCAAACACAGTGGGTGCACACCCAACAAAATAAGGCAGGGTGAGGTGTGCGTCCCCAAATTCCAATACAGAATTCCAGATTGTAGCCCTGTAAAGGGCTTTTGGCTACTCCAGCCAGAGTAGTCTGGAAGAAAAGCATCTGGAGACATTGCCGTCTTCTCCAGAACAGACCTGGCCTCGACTGCTTGCCCCAGACTTTGGTGGTTACTCCCCGAAAGAGCTTTCCCTGTTCTTTCGCCTCCTGCGCTCCTCTGGTGCCGTCTCCTCTAAGTCTTATTGTTCTTCTTTTTCTTTCAACCAGAGTCACCCAACGGAAGTTCTGCTTTTTGTTTTTGCCTGTTTGTTGTTGACGCTCCGACTTGCAGTGGGAATATTTTAAAACTAATTGTCATAGAGAGTCACAAGCCTTTGGGAGTGGTGGTGGCTGGAGTTAGCTGTATATGGATTAACTCTTTAAAACTGCGTATTTAAAAGACTAAATATTTAGGTATAAGTTAGTTCTTATACACTTGTCTTATTACTCTTGGTGTCTTATTTGTAGGTGTCCATGGGGCTGGTCATCCTTCAGAGACTTTAACTCCTTTTGTCACTTGGGGAGCTGGAATCAAGTATCCCCAAAACGTATCAACTCAGCAATTTGAAGATGCGTTTTTGAAAGGTATGAACATTTATCTTCATTGTTTTTATAAATATGACATTTTTCAATAAAACCAAAATTTAATTTATAAAGAAATACTTTTCAAGTTATAGTTTTCACTTTGATATTTGTGTCATTACTATTTCTGTGAATTACTTTTGTATGATTCCTATTATTTGGTTTATAATATTCAGCTTGAAGTATGCAGTCTTAGTTATTTGCCTTATGAAAGTTCAAGGATAAATTATACTGTTGCTTTTTTTCACAAGTCTTATTATCACTGGGATTTAGATTAAACCCTTGAGTCAGATCTTACTTGCAAAGGCTATCAATCAGATAAATCACACATTTGTCACAGTTGATGTGTCACAACTGGACAGATTTTGCCCCGTCTCTAATACTTTTGAAGGCTCTCTGTGGTGCCCGAGCCTCTCTTGTTTCTCAGTCCGTGAAGAGAAGGACTTCCTTTTTCCTGGAGCTCTGCTTATTTTGTAAGGTAAGATTTTTTTCAGAGTTCCAAAGGTTTTGCTAACTGGACAAAACAAATTCCTCTCAGATGCCTTACTCTGGATTAACTGCGTCAGACTCACCCAAAGCACGTGTTAAACCTACAGATGAAAGAAATGCAGATTTCCAGATGTTGTCACTCGAGGTTTTGATTCCATGAGTCTGGATGAGGCCTAAATATATTTTTTTTAAACCTTCTCCAGGGGTTTGGACTCACAGCTGTGTTTAGGTATTTCTATCATAAAAGATTCTTTTTGGTTTGTATAATAAAATTTTCTTAGACTCTTTCTTTTTTGGATTTATTTTTTTATAGAGATATAATTCTCATATCATAAAATTCATATTTTAAAAGTGTACTTTTTTTTAGTAGATTCACAAGATTGTACAATCACCTCTACTATCTAATTACAAAATATTTCATCCCTCACCCCCCCCCAAAAAAACCCTCATCCATTAGTGGTCACTCATTATTTCCTCTCCCCATCGTCTGGCAACCATTAATCCACTTTCTGTCTGTGTGGATTTGCCTGTTCTGGACATCTCATATAAATGGAATCCTTCACTGTGTGGTCTTTGTGTCTAGCTTCGTCCACTTGGCATAACATTTTCAAGGTTCATCTACGTTGTAGCATGTGTCAGTAGTTTATTTTTTATAGCTGAATAATATTCCATTGTATTTATATACCATATTTTATTCAGTAATCTTGTGGACATTTGCATTGTTTCCACATTTTGGCTATTATGATAATGCTGCTGTGAATATACGTGTAAAAGTTTTTGTGTGGACGTGTGTTTTCATTTCTCTGGTGGACACCTAGGAGAGGAGTAAATGGGTCATATGTAAGTCTAGGTTTAGTTTTTTGCAGACCACCAAACTGTTTTCCAAACCAACTGCACCACTTTATATTCCTGTGCCCTGTGGTAAATGGATTAGATTGGGTCTAAATAGAAGTTAGATTAAATACTATGTTTGTGCTTAAGAGATAGAACTTTATTTTGGCATTTGTTTTCTCAGTGAATTAATGCTTTAGAATCATATGACTTTAAGAATAATTACAGAAATAATGTATTTTTTCTCATAGGAATATTGAATATTGTAAGTTATAGAGAAAGGGAGTGTGTAGTTTTTCCTCAAGTGATAAGTGTGAATTTTTAGAAACTGACTAGTAGGAGCAGGAACATATTTTTAAACTTTATTAGCTTATTAAAGGAAATTTCATCATAAAAATATCTTAGAACATTTTTGGTAATATATCTTAAAGTCGTTAGATCAAGACATGGTCTCTCATAATCATTTGTTTTGATTACTATTTATTGAAATTTCTGAATTTATGTGTAGAAAAATATAGGAATGAGGTTATCTTTGAAGGCAGTTTTAATAGCAACTGACTATACTATTTTAACATTTGGAATTACTGACAATAGGAAAACCACAGCTACAATTTTAAGTATTTTGCAAGCAACTGCGTTACAGAAAAAAGAAGAGCTGAGATGGACTAACAGACTGTCAGTTGTGTGGTTCCTCTCTACAGGATTGTAATTAGTTGTGCTCATGCTGACGCTTGTTATCACTGTGCCTTTTACTCCCATCTTTCCATCTTGGAAAGACGGAAACAATTATCTCCAATTGAGCATTTTGAAAGTTTGATAAATCGTTGCAGAAAACACCAAATATTTACTTTTCAGTTATTCTTTTAAAATTTTAGTTTTAAAAATATACAACTCTGCCTTTTTAAGTACTCTTTTTGTTCATATCAGGCTTAAAATAGACTTTTCCAATACTTTTGTTTTCCAGTAAGCATTGACCACTGATAGTAATGAAATGATTTATTCTTTTAAAAATCTTAACATCAGCTCTTGTGTTTAACTGTATCTTTCAGAATGGAAATTGGAGAACTGGAAGAGGCAAGATATCAATCAGGTATTCATTTCAATTTAATCACATTGAAATTTAATTTTAACTCCTATAAGAAGTTTAGACAAAAAAAATCTGAAAAAAGATATTAATAGTAATGATGATAAAGGAGTTTTCAAAGCATTTCTGTTACTAAGGAAAATCTTTTTAGTGCAAATATTTCAACCCAACTAATCTCTCCTTTGGCAAAATAAAAAAAAAATGCCTCAAGTAAAACTAAAAGGAGGGGCCTGCCTGGTGGCATAGTGGTTAAGTTCATGCCCTTTAAGTTCTTTCAGTGGCCCTGGGCTTCCTGGGTTTGGATCCAGGGCGTGGACATACACACTGCTTTTTGGACCATGCTGTGGAGGCATCCCATGTACAAAATAGAGGAGGATTGGTACAGATGTTAGCTCAGGGCAAATGTTCCTCCAACAAAAAGAGGGAGATTGACAACAGATGTTAGCTCAGAGCCAATCTTCCTCACCAAAAAAACCCCACAAAAAACTAAAAGGAGAAGCCTCCCTCAAAATAACACTGGCTAATTAAAGAATTATTATGTAAATTGAAATATGCATACCTGTTAAATTTCTGTGTTTTCTTGTCATGGTTCCTTTGCTTAGTTGCTTCAAGCACAGATGTAATAAAACCCTGTTACGGGTTTCTTTCCTGTAGTATGTCAGTTACTGTTTGTTTTTATTAACATGTATTTTATCTTTAATTCTACCCAGGATCTTTACAAATGCAATGGGAAAAAGGTGATGAGTATACTCAGCTAGAAACCTTAGATTACAGGAAAATGCATGGCTAACCTAATCAAGTTAGACTGGTAACATTATCTGTAAATGTGAAGCGCAGAATTTTCTTTGTTGAAGATATGCTATGTAAACAGCCATTTTCACTGTTTGTGGAAGGCGTGGCATGACTGGTATGTGGCCTCCAAAGCGGCAGGAATATTTTTAGCTTCTCCAGGTCACCCACAAGCTGACATTTCTTACTGTGGTAGATAAACCAAGGTCTCGAATCCCATTTTCAGGCCTGTGATTGCAGAAGCCTGTTCTTTCTCAGCATATTAAGAATGTTCTCTTCTCTCAGGATGGATGCATATTACCCAAATAAAAGAAAATGTATAAAATCAGAATAGCAACTTATTAATTTGCAATAAAAATCACTGTCAAGGGGATAGGAATAATTTGAAGGCCGTAAAACAAGAACATGTTTTACTTCTCACCACACCGGATTATAATCAAAAACTGGATATGGATTCAGCTATTGCTCTCTGAATATTCCTACTTCAGATCAACATTAGATGAGAATTTCTTTATTCATTTCTCCCACCAGCATTGTTATATGACGGCAGTGTGTTTAAACATTGTGCAAACGTTAACCTTAACTTTAAAACTTTAAAACATCAACATTAAACACTGTGTAAGGGATATGATGGTGAGTAAAAGCAGACATAATCCTTGCCCTGGGCAACTTATAGTTTAGGGATGAGAACAGATAATAATCAAATCATTATGCAAATAAATGTAACATTATAGCTGTGAAAAGTACTACAGAAGAGGCATGTGACCCCGTGAGAGCATAGAGTGGATGTATCTGGTAGATTGTGTGGTCAGCAAAGGCTTCCTGAGAAACTGAGGATTGAGCTGAGATTGAAGAATCGCTAGGAGTTACCAGGCCCAGGCAGTAGGAGGAGGCCTTTCCAGGCAGACGGAGCAACATGTGCACAGAGCTCTAGTAAGAGGGTACTCAGGATGTCAAAGGATCTTGAAGGAAACTGGTGTTCGGAGCAACAGAGACTGTAGTGTGATATGAGGCAGAAGAAGGTAGGCACTAGACCACACAGGGCCTAATGGGCCTTATGGACTTAATCCTAAAGCTCAGGGAAGCCCTTGAAGCGTTTAAAGGCTGGAGGGTGACATGATCCGATTTAATGTGGAAGGATTGCTGTGGCTGCAGCTGGAGAACAGATTACAGGAGGCCCAGTGGATTCTGGGGGATAGAGACAAGGCGATTAGGAGGCTGTTGGAGTTTTCCAGTTTTTTTGTACTTAGATGGAAAAAGTAAGAAGGACTGAGAGCCCAGGACCAAACTCCAGCTTTAAATGGGGGACTAGAGAAGGTATCTGGAAAGAGCCACAGTGAGATTGAAGACTCTCAGTGGAGTGTGATGTTACAGAGGCCGGGAAGCGAGAGGTCTACACAGTGCTTTTGAGAGGTCAACTAATTATAATAACCACAACAGCAGTGGTGGCCACTATTTATTGCAGGAATAGTACATGCCAGGTACTTTATAAATTTAATCTCATTTAATCATGCCATAACTCTATAAGGAAGAAACTTTTATTTTTTAACTGGTAAGGAAACAGAGGCATTGGAGAGGTTAAATAACCTGCTCAAGGTCTCAGAGTTTGCAAGCCAAGGGCATTCTGACATCCAGGCAGTTTACTGCCTGAAAAATTGTGAGGACTAATATAAAAGCCGTCAATTAGATTTAGAAAAATGGAGGTTATTAGCTCTCTTAGGAAAGGTGGCATGTGGGATGATAAAGGGTTAAAGCAAGTGAGAATAGGGGAGGAGTGATGGGGAGATGAGGAAATGGAGACAGAAAGCATGAACAGCTCTTCTGGGAAACTGTCCAAGATGGTCTTTGGGATCTTTTGTCTAAAGATCCTCTTGTTTGTTTTATATCTTTTCTGGACTTCACTAGTTGGCCGAACCTCCTTCTGATACATACTTTTTTTCTTCAGTTAATATATACATTTCTCCAGTTAAAATCTGATGTTGCTATTTGTTATCTGTCTAGTTAAGGCATACTTTTTGAAATACTGAGAAACTGTTAATAAAGTGGTGAAGTTCTTGGTTACTAGGGTAAGTAAGTTTCTGTTTTAGTATGTTTTACATTTGGGGCTCTTAATGATTTCTTTTCAAATTTACTTTTTCATAAGTTCATGTACCTCTAGTAAAGGACATTTTTAGAGATCACTATCTAGTTTGTATTAAATAAACGTTTGAAGGTAATGGATTATAACAAATATCACGGTTATATTCCAAAATACAGTCGCATTAAATTACTTAAGGTTGATGTCTATAGACTTCTTAGAATTGAACTTTTCCTGTTTGTAGGCTGATATCGCACCATTGATGGCTTCTCTTATTGGGGTTCCCTTTCCCCTTAATTCAGTGGTAAGGAATAAAATTTTCTTATCAACTCTCAGAATAAAAGAAAATTACTGTACAGTAAAATTTACTTTTTATGTGTTTCTGGATAATCTTCAACTATATTTAAAACTGTATTTTCCTTTATATTTCTTTTTAAATGTGTAATACCTCATAATTGTGTATGTGCTATAGTCTACAACATGGAACACAAGCCTAATAGCTTTTCTTTAAAATTTTGTATTTTCTAAAATGTATACAGATTTATATCTTTGTATTTTAGTTATGTGATGAAAATATATAAATAATTTTTGATTGCAACAAGCAGAAATGAATCCATTTAAAGGAAATTTATAAGCAGGAATTGGTGATTCACTGAATCAAAGGGGTGTTCAAAAACCAGGCTTGGAAATGAACAGGAACCAAGAGAGCTCCAGAGACTTGAAGAAAGAACCAAACCGTGGTCCCCTGGCAGGGCTGGTCTGCTCAGGGCCCCGACACTAGGGGAGAGCAACACTGCACCTGTTGTACTGCTGTGCCTTGGCTCTCCAGAGTCATATTCCAGTGCTAACCATCTGAGTGGTGTAGCCTGGGCTATTTGTCTGCCCTTCAGTAAGGAAAGGCAGGGCCGCATTTGAGACCCACTATGCTATATCCACGGGGGAGATTTCTCAACATAGAATGGTAATGCTGTTAAGAATGGGAACGGGATGCTGAAAATCCAAAAAACAAACAAACAAGTCTATTCCGTCCAGCCATTCTTATTAGGTCTTCAAATAAAACTTTAAAAGAATAATGTCATCTATCTCAGAACTCCAAGTAGTATGACCGCTATAGTCGTAAGGGTGTGTGTATGTGTGTAATGGAAACAAAAGTTTCACAAGACAATCCTTACTCTCATTATGCACAGTATACTCTCATATTTCTTATTATGTCTTTTTTTCTTTGAAGTATGCTGGCTGTGGCCCACCATAGTGAGTTTTTGTGTGTGTGCGAGAACTTAGTTCCTTACTGCCTAGCACATAGTAATCTTTCAATAGACATTAGATTTTTTTGAACTTAATTCATCTCTTTTGCTTTATTTTATTATGTCTACTTTGTGAGAAAAATTATAAAACATTTTTCAGTTACAGTTTTAAGACAGATTTTTTAATTATTCTACTAATTTATTTGTCCATATGTCTTATCTTTATTGCTTCCTTTTAAAGTCTATTTTGTCTTCTAAGAATAGCCTGAGCTTTGTTAACACTAATATTAAACCACTGTTGGTTTTTCACAGGGGATCCTTCCTTTGGATTATCTTAACAACACTGATCTCTTCAAAGCAGAGAGCATATTTACAAATGCCATACAGATCCTTGAACAGTTCAAGGTAAAACAAGACTCACACACAAAATTGGACACTACTACAATTTTAAAATGGAATATATTAAGTAAAAATATTTGATTTTGTGTTTTAAGAGATGGTTTCCTATAATTTATTATCTTTAAACTTTGTGTATTTGACTATTGTCATAAGTTTCACATTTCTGAATGTGAATTCAAGTTCCATGAATCACTTTGAGGAGTGTCTCTAATTGTAAGACCACCACACATGCTTATAAAGACTACAAACCAAGTCTTTATCGGTTGGAATTTGCCTCATAGAAGTAATATTAGAAATTACAATATTTCTTGTCATTCCATGTACATTATTACAAGCATGAGGAACTTAAAGATGTGACCATTTAACTGAAGCTTTCTTTTATTCTTAATACTGTTACTGCAGCTTGGCTTATTTTGTTTCCTAAGGGTTAAAGAGGTACAGTTTAATTACAGTACAGTATGTTATTTTGCAGGCTTGGTATGCTTTATTCTCAGCTTATTGTGATAGTGTGATAATGTTGAATTTTTCTTTAAATAGTTGTGAAAAATATAGTAAAACGAAATTCCGTTTATTTTCAAAGTACTTAACCATCCCTGAAGAACTACTTTCATAGATGTTTATATTTCAGAATGAAATGAGTTAATTTCTTTCTCTTTTATAATATAGTATTTTCATACTTGGTTCCCAGGTGAAAATGACTCAGAAAAAAGAAGTTACTTTATCATTTTTGTTTACACCGTTTAAGTAAGTCTCTTATATTTTTTACTAACTTGTAGGAAAAACTTTTTCAGTGAGTTTGAATGGTGACGGGATAGATGAGTTTCTTAGAAACTTTATCTTTTTTGCGTACATTAGTGCAAATTCCAAAATGAAAGCTGCTGTTGTTTTTGTAAGTAATGGGCCGGATGCTTGAACGGCTGGTAGAGGAGATATAGGGGTGCAGGGAAATATCGGAAACATTAAGGAGATAAATTCACCTGGCCTTGACTGGGAAGGTGTGGGGGCTGTTGGCTTGGATGGTTGGGAAGAATGCTGGTACCAATATGGCTTATAGAAAGAAAGAAGAGCTAGTTTGAGAGGCAGGGATGAATGTTCCTGAGTTCAGCTTCCACTTGAAGATATCACTTAATTAGTTAGAAATAGGAACTTGGATCTCAAGATAGAGAGGAGAGTTGGTTATGAAGATTTTGGAACCATCAGCATAAGGATGGTCGCAGCTGTAGGGAGGGTGTAGAAAGTGACAAGAAATGGCCAGTGATCCAATTCTGGGAAACACTGGCAACTACTGGGCGGGCAAAGAGGAGAGCAGACTTTGGTGGGCAGCAGATTTTGCTGTCCCAGATCCCAGAAAGGTGTGTTTTCCTTGAATCAGGTACGGGAGGTCTGAGTCACAAACCTGGCTCTGCACCGCTGACTCGGGCAGCTTGACTCAACCTCCTTGAGGTTCATTTTTGATTAGCGAGGATTCACATTTAACTGAGAAGGATTTTGCTCTTGACCAAAACAAACAGAAATTGTGTGAAATATGAGTGTTAGGGATATGATTGACTTCACTGGAATTATTTTTGACAACTTATATAGCACTAGTGTGGTATTCATAAACTAGAAAGGCTTAAATATGGTGTGATTGTATGTCTGACTTTCTGTGTATATGTATGTATAGGAGAGTAAAAAAAGCAAAATTAGGATTTTTCAAGTTATGATCATATGAAATTAATTACCCTAAATATTATATACATCAAAAGTAAAATTACCTTTGAGGACTGTCCCCACTTAGAACTTTATTATCACATATGCTTATAAAGACTATAAGGAAAGTCTTTATTGATTGGAATTTGCCCCATATTATATCATTTACATATCATGTGTGTCTGTTTATTTATAATGTTGTGGTACAATCAGACCATAAGAAAATAAACAAATAAATGAACAACAAATATATTATCATTTCCTGGCGTGAAGAAAATACACAAGACATTCAAAGTGAGAATAACTGAGGGTTGCTTTAGACCAGCCACTGTAGAAAGACTGATCAGGGAAGTGCTTTTCTACAAGGAGTTCAAGTGCACACTACCCACCTGCTTCGACTTGGCCTGCTGGCTGACCACGAACTTCCCCTGCTCTGATGCTCAACATCTGCCTGCAGAGCCACTGCTAGCTCTGTGTCATCTGGGGGCCCAGCAGGATGCTTGATTCCCACCCACTAGCTCACCCACCCTGGAGCGAAGCTTACCAGCCTGGCCTGTAGACTAATCTGGCTGAAAATCACCATTTGCCAAAAGCCTGCAATGTGGCCAGAAAAGCCGAAGATAAAATGAAGAATTGACACTTGAGGAAATGGATAATTTAAGGGACAGAAAAGAACTTAAAAATATTAAAATCCTCACAAATATTTGAGAAACTATTGTATCCATAAAACAAAAAGCAGCACAAACTTTACAAAATGAGAAAGGTACAGGATGCATTTTTTTTTATTGAGTTAATGATAGGTTACAATCTTGTGAAATTTCAGTTGTACATTATTGTCTGTCAGTCGTGTTGTAGGTGCACCACTTCACGCTTTGTACCCACCCCCCCAACCCACCTTTCCCTTGGTAGCCACTAATCTGTTCTCTTTGTCCACATGTTTAAATTCCTCATATGAGTGGAGTCATACAGAGATTGTCCTTCTCTATCTGGCTTATTTCACTTAACATAATTCCCTCAAGGTCCATCCATGTTGCTGCAAATGGGACGATTTTGTTCTTTTTTATGGCTGAGTAGTATTCCATTGTTTATATATATATATATACCACATCTTGGTTATCCAGTCCTCTGTTGATGGGCACTTAGGTTGCTTCCATGTCTTGGCTATTGTAAATAATGCTGCAATGAACATTGGGGTGCATGGAACTTTTGGAATTACTGACTTCAAGCTCTTTGGATAGATACCCAGTAGAGTGATAGCTGGATCATATGGTAGTTCTATTTTTAATTTTTTGAGGAATCTCCATACTATTTTCCATAGTGGCTGTACCAGTTTGCATTCCCACCAGCAGTGTATGAGGGTTCCTTTTTCTCCACAGCCTCTCCAACATTTGCTACTGTTTGTTTTAGTTATTTTTGCCATTCTAACGGGTGTAAGGTGATATCTTAGTGTAGTTTTGATTTGCATTTCTCTGATGCACAGTGATGATGAACATCTTTTCATGTGCCTATTAGCCATCTATATATCTTCTTTGGAGAAATGTCTGTTCATGTCTCCTGCCCATTTTTTGATCAGGTTGTTTGATTTTTTGTTGTTGAGTTGTGTGAGTTCTTTATATATTATGGAGATTAACCCTTTGTCAAATGTATGACTTGGAAATATTTTTTCTCAGTTAGTGGGTTGTTTCTTTGTTTCAATCCTATTTTCCCTTGCCTTGAAGAAGCTCTTTAGTCTGATGAAGTCCCATTTGTTTATTCTTTCTATTGTTTCTCTTGTCTGAGAAGACATGGTGTCCAAAAAGATCCTTTTAATACTGATGTCAAAGAGTGTACTGCCTACATTTTCTTCTAGAAGCCTTATGGTTTCAGGTCTCAGCTTTAGGTCTTTGATCCATTTTGAGTTTATTTTTGTGAATGGTGAAAAAGAATGGTCAATTTTCATTCTTTTACATGTGGCTTTCCAGTTTTCCCAGCACCATTTGTTGAAAAGACTTTCTTTTCTCCATTGTATGCCCTCAACTCCTTTGTCGAAGATTAGCTGTCCATAGATGTGTGGTTTTATTTCTGGGCTTTCAATTCCGTTCCATTGATCTGTGCACCTGTTTTTGTACCAGTACCATGCTGTTTTGATTACTGTAGCTTTGTAGTATGTTTTGAAGTCAGGGATTGTGATGCTTCCAGCTTCGTTCTTTTTTCTCAGGATTGCTTTAGCAATTTGGGGTCTTTTGTTGCCCCATAGGAATTTTAGGATTCTTTGTTCTATTTAGGATGCATTTTTTGACAAAGGAAAATGCAACTAAAAACTTAGAAGTGATAAATTGTACAAGAATGGTCCAGGGCCAGCCCCGTGGCCTAGTGGTTAAGTTCTCGCACTCTGTCTCGGTGGCCCAGGGTTTTGCAGCTTCATATCCTGGGTGCGGACATGGCACCGCTCATGAGGCCATGTTGAGGCAGTGTCCCACATGCCACAACTAGAAGGGCCCACAACTAATAATATACAACTATGTACTGGGGGGATTTGGGGAGAAAAAGCAGAAAAAAAAAAGATTGGCAACAGTTAGCAGCTCAGGTGCCCATCTTTTAAAAAAAAAGAATGGTCCAAATGGGAGGCAAATCCTCCAGATTAGAATAGGAAGTGAATGTGTAGACCTCAAGTGAAATGAAATGAATTTTAAGTAATGTATGGATTGAGTAAGAAGCTGGAGGAAACACGATAACATATGTGGGAGGCGTACGTTTCTTCATCCCCCAAAACAATGACAATTGGAAACTTCAAGGAAAAGAAAACATTTCAAACTGTACAAGAAAGTGTGCTTCAAATATGAAGCAAACTAAGATGTGACATGATTTTGAACAGTTGCTGGGAGTATGAGAAAGGGAATTCATTTGAACATTGGCACATGGATAAAGGTTTCAATGAAATAGATGAGAAAATCTAATTATAGCATACAACTTTGCTACTCAGTGAACAGGATTTAAATAATCATAATAATGTAAACATTGGTTTTCAGCTTTTCGAGTCAAGCCTCAGACAAAGCAGGGAAGACATAATTATGATTATAGAATAAAATGCAAATGTTACCAACCTTGACAGTGTACAAGGTTATAGGTTGGAAGGCAGGCAGGGAAAAAAATGTAACTGGATTAATAGTGGTGCTGTTGTCCTCATAAAGTCAAATATGGAGATTCTGGCTACAGTCGAGAATGTAAGACAGAGGTTTAGGTATTAGATTGTTAAAGTGACTAACCAGCAAACAGAGGACGTAAAAATAGTCATATAACCACCTTGAGGTAGGAGGAGACAGCAGGAACAGCCAGAGTCAGCCAGGAGTCAACAGAAAGTGTCTCAGGTCATCAAGTCAAGAAATAGTAATAAAAGCACGTGATTAAGAAAACTGGAGGTAACTATCAGGTAACTAAAAAGAGACACATGGAAAAGCTTTTGTCTCTACATTGAGGAGCTGAGAGATGAGAAGGGGTAGGGCAGGGATTTATTGGTTGTCATTGTGTCCTCTAGTGATTAAGGATTGATTCTGTCACCACTGTGGCTGGGGATCATTTTCAGTCAGGGAACCACACCATCCGTCTGTTGGTTGTTCATACTGTGGCGGCTGCGTGTTGCTGTGATGCTAAAAGCTGTGCCTCCGGTATTTCAAACACCAGCAGGGTCACCCACGCTGACAGGTTTCGGTGGAGCTTCCAGACTAGACAGAGTAGGAAGAAGGAGGTGGCCACCCACCTCCAAAAATATTGGCCATGAAAACCCTGTGAATAGCAGCAGAGCATTGTCTGATATAGTTCCAGAGGGTGAGAGGATGGTGCAAAAAGACCGGGTAGAGTTCCTCTCACCTATACACAGGGTTGCCAGGAGTCGGACTCCACTCAATGGTGTTAACAACACTGTGCCTTTCTGTACTGTTTTCGATTTTTAAAAATTATATGCATATATTGCTTTGACAAAACATTAAAAAAGAAACAAAAAATAGGTATTTTAAGCATTGGCATGAATCATAAATTCATAAAAATCATGGAAACGAATAAAAAAAATTTATTCTTCT